GAGATATTATATATCTCAATTTTTTTTTTATGGAAAAATCTTATTTTAAGATATTATATATCTTTAACTTATCATATATCACTATAATATTTTAAATTATTTTAAATTATGTTTGTTTAATATTTTGAATTTTTATATATTTGTTATGGTTTAGTATTTTAAATTATGTGATATTATTTTTTACAATTATTTTTTAAAGTATTTGTTATGGCTAATTATTTGAATTTATCTCTATTATTTGAAGTAAATAGGAGAGACTAGTTATCCGCAACAAAAAAAAATTAAAAAGAAGATCACAGTCAAATATAGAATAGTATATTAGTTTTTATATATTATTTTGATTAAAATATTTTTATGAATATTATTATATATTTAATTTAACAATTCTCCTTTATGTTAAATAGTACGTTTAGATAATATTATTAATATTTTATAGTTATATGTTTATTATAATTACTTCGTTTTATTTTATTTTATTTTTTTTGTAATAATTTTACTCTATATTTTTATTAATTATTTTATTTTATTGTATATTGATTTTACAAATTGGTTGTTATATTTTTTTATTAATATTATTATATACTTATTTAAATTTTAAATTAATTTACAAGTTAAATGTATACATATATACTAATATAAAATTTATAAATAATATATTTTAAAATCCTAATAAATTGTACTAAACTAGTATTACATTTTGTTACTTTGTATGTTATATATATATATTTATTATATAATAGTTAAATGTATATTTTGTTATATTATTTGTCTATTTGTTAAAATATATTACTTAAATTATAAATTATTTTATGTTTATTTATACAAGTATTTAGATTATAAAAATGTGTTATAAAGTTATTGTTATGCTGAATTCATATTAATACATGTAACAATTAAAATTAAATATTATACAATTTAATAAAGTATATCCGTGTATGGCACGGATAATACGTTAGTATATATATATATTTTAAATTTTGTGTATATAAAAACAGAATCGAGTTGACATATTGACAATCCAAAATTCAGGTAATATGCTTTATGTTGGCTATTTTTACTCGTTATTTTGGAGGACATCATACAATTTTACAAATAAATTTGTATACCAGAAGAATATACATATTAACTCTATGTTGTGCAACCTAGATCACAACTTCGCTTCTATAACAAGGAATATTTGAATCAAATTTCTTACCTATCCAACAGTTTGATATACTAGAACAACAAGATGAATTCTCATCACATTTTAGAGGATAATTTATTTTTATTATTTGTCAAGAATATCTGGTCTGTCATTACATATGCCATTAATATATGCTTTAATTATTATGTGTGCTATTCTTAATTATGATTGCATTGTTAGTCCAGAAAAAATGCTCAAAATGGAAGGCAAAACTGTTCCAACATGCTTAATATTATCGTATTCTTAATATGTTTTGCACCTATTGCATGAAGTCCAACATGCACCTATTCAATGGAGGAATTAATTTGAACGGTTCCAACATGCTCCCCCTTAATTCTGACATGGTCCAAGATCATGTGCGCCTAGCAGGTACCATTTTTCTTCAAACTTTACTCTTGGCAAGGCTTTCATTAGCGCATCAGCTCGTTGCTTTTCCGTAAATATGCTCCACTACAATTTGTCTCTGTTCGACACATTCTCGAATGAAATTATACCGTGTATCAATGTGTTTACTCTGTCCATGAAAAACAGGATTTTTCATTAAAGAAATAGCGGACTTATTATCAACGAACAATTTTACCGGCTTCCGCTCTTGCTTTGTTAGCTCTCCTAACAAGCTCCTCAACCGTAAAGCTTGACATGCTGCTGTCGTTGATGCCATGAATTCATCTTCACACGATGACAAGGCCACAGTTTTTTTGTTTTTGAGAGTTCCATGACACAAAACTGTCATTGATATAAAATGCCATTCCTCCGGTGCTCTTTCTATCCGTCGCATCCCCAACAAAATCACTGCCCGTGTATCCGGTGATTATTTTCTCATCTCCAACTCTTCCATACACAAGTCCAAAGTGTATAGTTCCTTTCAAATATCTTAGCACTTGTTTTACCGCCTTGTAATGCATGATTGTGGGCCTTTCCATGAATCGGCTTAGCATACCCACTGAAGGCGATAAATCGGGACGAGTGTGCAGCAAGTATCTCAAGCAACCAATAACCCGTCGATATTCTGTCTCATTGACTGGTTCTCCCTTCGGATCTTTGTGAAGTTGTATATTTTGTTTTGACGATTTTAGGGAAAACAAGGAAGAGAAATTTTTTTATTCTAAATTTATTGCATAACACTCTTCCGTATAGACTTATATGTATATAAGTGTATGTATATATGCAACAGATCAAACAAACTAACAGCCTATAGCAATATGAAAATGGTGTCGCCAAGATCTTTAATGGTGAAAATATCATGGAGATAGGTCTTGATTTCATTAATCAATCCCACAGAGGAACCAATAAGAAGAATGTCATCCACAAAAACTGTCAAGGCTAGAATATCCGGACCTCGGTGAAGAATAAAAAGACAGTGATAATGAGGAGACTGATTAAAGCCAAAGGCAAGAACCTTCATTGCGAGAGTTTGGAACCAAACCCTTGGAGCCTGTTTCAACCCATACAAGGATTTCTCAATTTGCACACATGATTGAGGGGACTGAGTACCCTGGAGGAGGCTGGAGATAGACATCCTCCTCAAGAGTTCTATGTAAAAAACGTTATTAACATCAATCTGATGTATAAACCAACCTTTAGCAATGCCGATACCCAAGAGCAGTTGAACTGTAGTGCATTTTGTTACTGGTGCAAAGCTTTCACTGAAGTCTTTCCCTTGTTCCTAAAGGTAGCCTTTGGTTACTAACCGAGCTTTATATCGAGAAATTGCTCCTGATTTGTCTCTCTTAATTTTGTATACCCATTTACATCCTATAGTTTTTTTTTCTTTGGGCCTCGCAACTATGTCCCATGTATAGTTTGACTCAAGAGCATCAAGTTCCTCTTGCATAGTCTGTATCCAATGGGTGTTATCCACAGCTTCAAGATAAGAGATTGGCTTATCATTGTTGCAGTACACATGGAGACATAGTCTTTAAGCCAACCAGGTTGCTTTACCTCCCTATGGGGCCGTGTAGAAGGTGGCATAGATGGTAGTGCAACTGTTGTATCTGTATCAGGAGAAGAGGGAATACCAGATGTAGAAGACTAAGCTTCAGCAACCAGGGAGGGAGAAGCCTGAAAAGTCAGTTTAATAGGGGATGGGGTGTCTGAGGGAATATCAGATGTAGAAGACTGAGGTTCAGCAACCAGGGATGGAGAAGCCTGAGAAGTCAATTGAATAGGGGATAGGGTGTCTGTAGAGGTGACCTTATCAACCGGCAAAGATTCTGTGTCCTCAGTCCCAACCACAGGGGAAGGGCAAAAGTTGGAGGTAGAGGCAGTACAATCTAATCCAGGGAACACTGATTCAAAGAAGACCATATTTCTAGAGATCAAGAACTGTCTGGTGGAGGGAATGAAAATTTTGTAACCTTTTATTCCTTTTTCATAACCCACGAAGATAGATTTAACTCCTCTATTACTGAATTTATTTCTTGTGGGATCTATGTTATAAACAAAACACAAACAACCAAACACTCTCAATCCATCAAGATCTGGTTTCTTGTTATATAAGATCTCATAGGGTGATCTCCAATTCAACACAGGGCTGGGGAGAAGATTGATCAAGTGAGTAGCTGTTAGAACAACCTCTCCCCAAAACTCAGTAGGTAGATTGGCTTGCACAAGCAAGGTTCTAGCAATGGAGATGAGGTGCTAATGTTTTCTCTCCACTCGACCATTCTACTGTGGAGTATATGGGCAAGACTTGTAATGAGCAATTCCATTCTCTTGTAATAGATTCTTGAAAGCCAGAGAAGTAAACTCCGCTCCAAAGTCTATTCTCACATTCTTTACTTTGGAGTTAAACTGAGTATGAATCAATTTGATGAACACAACAAAATGTTCAAGACCTGAGACTTTAGTGGTAGCAAGAAAATCCATGTGCTTCTGCTGTAGTCATTTACAATAGTCAAAAAATATTTGGCTCCGCAAGTAGGTGGTAAGTGATAAGGGCCCCAAATATCAAGATTTAATAAAGCAAAGGAAGAATCAACTTTATTAGCACTCAAACCAAAGGGTAAATGTCTCATTTTAGTTAAATTGCAAGCATCACAAGGTAGAGAAGTAGTATGTACAACATCCTTATTCATAAGAGTAGAGTTAAACAGTAATTTTTGCATTACCAAACTGGATGGATGTCCTAATATTTGATGCCAAGGAGTATCTAGCTTGACAGCACACACTTGATCGGTGTGACCTTCCAGTTAGAACAGCTGTCCTTCAAGCACTCTTTTTCCAAGCACATGATGATCATGGTCCTGAATTAAACACTGGTTATTCTTGAAGACCACGGATAATTCTGGTGACAAGCACAATCTGTATATGGATACCAAGCAATATTTAAAGGTAGAGAGAAAATAGACATCAAGAAGAGTAATATTCTCATTCAATTGCACTATGCCTGTCCACTCTGCTAAGTGCATTGTTCTACTGGGCATGAAGACTTTAATAGGACTATGAAGTAGTATCAAACAATCAAATAACCTTCTGTCATTAGCTATATGACATGTGGCTCCACTGTCAAGAACCCAACCTCTAAGTTTATTCACCTCATTAGATGCATTGAGACAAACAGTACCTATATGGTAAGTGCTAAACATTTTGATTTGTTTAGCTGGAGTTTTGCAGGATTCAAAAGCTTTCATTATATCCCATCAGATCGCTTAAGGCTTCATTGGATAATGAAGATGAGGTATGTTGAATGCAGAGTTAAATAGCATTATAGAAAGCAGCTAATGTCATATCCTCACCTGCTTGCAATGTAACCTCACCCTTCTCCCTTCTTTTCTTATCCAATCTTTCCTTATACCACTCCGGATAGCCGTGAAGTTTAGCACTCAGCTTTGACATGTCCATTTCTCTTGCAGTGATCACACACCAAATTCGTTTTTAATGACTTATCCAGCTTTCTTTCACTGGTTCTTGAGTTAGCAAGTAACACAGTGGGTGAAGGATCCTTTAACATATCATGTACTTCTTGCTGTTTCTCTACAGTTGAGAGTATACCATATATCTTGTTTACATCCGACAAAGGATCCATCATCAATATTTGGTTCCTTACAGCATCAAAATTGTCATTTAAGCCCATCAAATAATCAATTGCTTCTAGGTTGTGGAGATACAAATCAACTTCATTTCTATCAACAGGCACAGGTGCCAAACAGGACAGCTCATCTTTCGAACTCTGCATTCTATTGAAGTATGCAGCCATGGAGAGATTACCTTGATAGAGCCTACTAAGATCTCTCCTCTTTTGGTAAATGAGAGGGCGTTGTGCACCATAGCGAAGTTTGAGTTTCTCCTATAACTCATGACTTGTCTTGATGGGACTGAATACAACTGTAATTTGTGGAGAGATCGAATTCAACAGCCAACTAAGTACTATATCGTCATTTCTTTCCCATTTTAGGGCAGCTACTGGGTTTTGAGGTCGCTTAATTTCCCCAGTCACGAATCCCTTTCTTCCTTCTGTTGAGAGAGCTCTTAAGACCACTGTGCTCCATATCAAGTAAGACGAACAAGACTCATGTTAGGTTGATCATGGGAAGAGATTTGCAAGGATGAATTAACTGTGTTTCCAGAAGAGAGTGACAGATCTGTAGTCATCGTGCAATTTCTCAAACAAACTGTAACAAGAAAAAAATAGCAGCAGAACAGACCATGAGGCTGAGAATTAATCGAAACAAAAGTATCCAGGGATTAAAATGCATTTACTTTTGCCGAGTTAAAGAACTCTAATCTACCTAGGCTGGGCGGATGCATTATTTCTCATGCACCAGGGATTCGAAAGACACGTCTGTCTGATGATTGTATTCCTTGAGACATATCTAAAGATGTTTCCAAATTGCCTTCCCCTGATCATCGTCCCAGCCAACATACTTTGTACCTGGGAAGCAGAGTTCAGTGGGTTTCATTTCCAGAACCTGAACAATCCGGCGTTCATCGGCGACGAGAGTGTGGCTGCTGACCATCTCTTTAAAGGGGCATAGATCAGATGCTGGGGTATGGAGGCTATCCGCATGGTCAAAATATATTCGTGGAAGAAAGGGGGAAGCCTTTTGGGGATTACCTACAATCTTTTCGAGAAGTTAACGGCGCAGAAGCACATGGATGAAACAAATGAGGGCGAGGAGGGGCAGAGGACAGGTGCTGAACAGAACTTGGAAGTTCTGAGGTCGACACTTCCTGAGATGCCTAGACTAGTGATTCTTGATGAAGGTCATACTCCTCGTAACAACAGGAGTAAGATTTGCACATCCCTTGTTCAGCTCAAGAGAGAAAAGTGTGTCATATTGTCCGAGACGCCGTTCCAAAATAACTTCAAAGAGGTGTTCAACACCCTGAAGATCGGAAGGCCGATAGCGGCAGAAACGATTATGGAGGATCGGACATTTGCTGAAATTCTGCATTCACATAGGAAAGCCCAAACCTATCGGTCTGCGTTGCTTCCTGAAGTAATCAATCGTGCAGTGCAGAGGCTTAAAGTCTCCATGTCAGCATTTGTGCACGTGCACAAGGGAACTGTCCTCCAAAAGAATCTCCCCGGATTAAGAGAAAGTGTCATCCTCCTGAAACCGATTGGATTGCAAAAGAAACTAGTTGACAGGTTAAGAGTGAATTTGGATTTTCTTTGGTATCTGTTCATCCTTACCATACCCAAAAATACAAGTCGCAAGTACCAACCGATTGCAATGATATGCAAGCAGTCGAGGTGTCAAAGCTCATTCCTGGCAAAGGGTCAAAATAATATTCATCCTTGAGTTTTTCCGTGTCAGTATGATGCTGATGAAAGAGGATCTGAACGCGACCTATCAGAATTTATCTTCTGCTCTTCTTCGAACAAGAAGGATATATTAAAGCAGCAGATGCCGGAGATTGAGGACAGGTTTCTTGAAGATATGATGCAGCACATGAAGACAAAAGATATATTTGAAAAGATCATTCACCAGCTGAAGAACGCTGACCTGATCCAGTCCTTGGTATCAGAGGTTGAAAATATTCCCGGGAGTATAAAGGTAAGTGTTGAGTTAAAGCTTTTTTAAGGAAACAGATTGATGAGTGGATTGATCACTTTTGTTTGGGAATTGTTTGGTTGATTGTGATTGGTTGTGCAGTTTTTTAAGTTGGAAAATATTTTTTTTCCCTCTTATCATTTGGTAATTTTAGCTTGTTTTATGGCATAAACAAAATATAATTGATTGCCATTCCTATAGGTTTTCAATGATTTTCAAATGCACAAATATACAGAATAGGTTGTGATTTGTATAGACTAATGATGAATTTTGTAACTTTTTAATTTCTCTTTTTGAAGGATTGTTAATTTTAAATGGTTCCAAGTTTGCACCAAATGTGTTTGATTGGATAGATCAAGTTATAAGGTTTGAAGAATGTTCTCTTAATTTTTTACTAGTGATTTTTTTGTCCGTGTACTTTGTTGTCCTTCTATTAGATAAGTGTATTATATATAATAAAATTTTGAAATAATTATCTTTTAGTTGTCTCTTGTTAATTTTTTTTTTTTTTTTTGTACAAACCATACTTTTGTTATTAGTGATTTGGAAAAGGCAATGTATTGCCGAATGGAAAAAGAGATAATGCATCTATTAAGCAGACATGATGAATTGAGTAAAAGAGAGTTTTAGTAAAATTGAAATTTCTTAAAGAAATATTTCCTATGTATTTAGTCAGTGATTTGTGTTTTTTTTTTAAGTTTTTTTGTTTGAATAATATTTTGAAGGTGATGATTTGTAAAATTAAAGTACTTTTAAAAATTTTCTGAAAGTTTAATTGTAAAAAATAAAAATAATAAATAGAGATTTAGAAATTAATTAGTCTACATTACAACGAGGGAGAGATGGTTAAAAAAATTTAAAAGTCAATTAGTTTTCATAAGGTTTGACTCTAATATTTTTTTAAGTCCCATTCAAAACGACTTAACTCAAATATTTATCAATTTCAATTCCCCTTATCAACGTAATAATGCACACAGATAAAAAATTTTTTTAAAAAAAAAACTCTCTAATTTTAAAATTCCTATTAAAAACACAATATCCTTTAAAATCCAGATTTAAGATGACGTGAAACCCTTTTTCTCCTTTCACTTTTATGATTTCACGCAAAAAGGTTATTGCCGCAATAACAAAATTCCAAAAAATAAAAGTGTACTAATTTCAATGTTTCAAACCAATCCAATCAAAGTAGTTGTCTTTTTTTTTTTTTTTTTTAAACATTTTTTAACTTATCCAACTCACAAAGAAACTAATCAAAACCTGACTTTCAGGTTTACTTGTCAGAGTTCTCAGAGGAAGTAACTTATGCATCAAATATTTGATGTGCAAAGAAGAAATTTAATTTTTCAACTTCTAAATTAATCTAACTAGACAACCAATCCAATCAAAGCCCTTCGTCCTTTTAAATACTCTTTGACTTATCCAATAAAAAGAATTAAATCACACCTCAATTTCTGTTAAATTAGAACTAAATTATACATTGAATTTTTAACATACACCAAAAATTTGTGCAAGATGACAGGGAAAGAATGATCAACAATGAGCTTTTTTATTTGTTACTATTGTTTAAAAAAATTTCCAAAAAACAAATGTGCATCATTTCTAATCTCAATTTTCGAAATCAATCCAATAGAAGTAGTTATTTGTTGTTCTCAAAATTCTTTTAACTTATCCAAGTCAAAGATATTAATGAAACCCTAACTTTCAGTTAGCCGTCAAAGCTCTCGGAAACTGGGAAGTAACATATGCATCAAATGTTGCATGTACAAAAATAAGTAATTTAATTTTCACACCACTAAATTAATCTAACTGAAAGAATTTTAGACAACCAATCCAACAAAAGCAGCCCATCTTTTTTAATACTCTTTGACTTATCCAACCAAAAAGAATTAAATTATACATCGATTTCTGTTAGAAGTCAAAAGTTGGAACTAACTTATCCATTAAATTTTTCTCATACACCGAAAATCCGAGCAAGATGATAGAGAAAGAATGGTCAACAATCAGCTTTTTTATTTGTTACTATTGTTTAAACAAAATCTAAAAAAACAAAAAAGTGCATCATTTCTAATTTCAATTTTCCAAACCAATCCAATCAAAGTAGTTATTTGTTGTTCTAAAAATTCTTTAACTTATCCTAAGTCAAAGAAATTAATGAAACCAACTTTCAGTTAGCAGTCAAAGTTCTCGGAAACTGGAAAGTAACATAAGCATCAAATATTACATGTGCAAAAGAGTAATTTCATTTTCTGTGACTAAATTAATCTTACTCAAAGAATTGCAGACATCCATTTGAATACTCTTTAACTTCCGAAAAGAAGAATTCAATCATACCTCGATTTTTGTTAGACATCAAAAGTTGGGACCAATTTATCCACTGAATTCACATACACCCAAAAAATCTGTGCAAGATGTTAGGAAAAGAATGGTCAACCTTGAGCTTTTATTTACTACCTACAATGATTGAATTTTACCATTTACAAAACAATGCATATTTTTTCTGCTTTTGCATTACAGTCTCCACGCAAGTATATATAGTTTTAAGAAAAAATATATAATTATAGTTGTTGATGTATTTTTTCAACAATAAAAATAAAATCTGAAAATAGGAAATTATCTTCGAATTTGATATAATTAGTGCCTGAGATTAGGAATCTCTAAACACTGTAGGATACATAAATAAAATAGAAAAATAAAACTATATGCTGGAAAATAAATAAAGTGGTGATCCCCAAAAGCAATTCTCTTGAATTTGATGTCGATTGAAGATGGTTTCTTATGTCAGGAACAGACCTTTTTAAAACCCTTTAAAGAAACGGTCTAAACCGTCGTTTGGTCGGTTACAGCAACCGCTGTCAACCGCCCCGAAAGTTCTCTTATGTCGACACGTGTGCTAACCGACTCACCAAGTCATGCCTTCAAACCCGCTCATAAGCTAAAACTTTCCTCAACTGTCCAGGAACTGCTCTTTCGCCCGACCAGCACATCTACTGCTTCCTTGCCCGACCTGATCACGTCCAACCTCAGCACCCGACCTTATCACGCCCGACCTTATCCTGCCTCATCTCCGGGCCAGACCTTATCATGCCTGACCTTCGCGCCCGACCTGATCACGTCCAACCTCAGCGCCCAACCTTATCACGTCCAACCTCAGCGCCCGACCTTATCACGCCCGACCTTACCCTGCCTCATCTCCGTGCCAGACCTTATCATGCCCGACCTTCGCGCTCGACCTGATTACGTCGGACCTCAGTGTCCGACTTTATCGCACCCAACCTTTGAGCTCAACCTGACCACGTCCGACTTTAGTGCCCGACCTTATTACGCCCGACCTTTGATCCCGACCTGATTATGTCCGACTGCAGTACCCGACCTTATCACGCCCGACCTTTGAGCCCGACGTGATTACGTCCGACTTCAGTACCCGACCTTATTCTGCCTGGCCTTTGCACCCGACCTTGTTACACCTGAGCTCCGTGCCCGACCTGATCACACCTGATCTTTACACCCGACCTTGTCTTCTGAGACCTGCCTTTTCCCGAGGAAGCTTCTTCCTTACAGGGTTATACTTGGACTTTTGAAAGCCCATTAAACTCAAATAAACCTTAACCTAATTTGGTAGGCCCATTCTCGAAAATTCTACCTATTTTTTTTTTTTTTATGCTCAACAGTAGTTGTACACAATAGTTCAGTTTAATGTGATTTCGTGACAAGAAAACATGTACTTGGAAAAAAAAAATTATGAAAGTTGCAACTTGTATTTTTGGGTGAGGTAAGGATGAGCAGATACCAAAAAAAATCCAAATTCACTCTTAAGAGTTTTCCTTAACCATTGCACTTCCAACCTTTCGATCAGATTCTTTTGCAATCCATTCGGTTTCAGGAGGATGACACAGTCTCTTAATCCGGGGAGATTATTTTGCAGGACAGTTCCCTTGTGCACGTGCACAAACAGTGACATG